GCACTTTGAAATGCAAATTTGAAACTCAAAAGGTAGATTAAAAATTATGAAATAAGGGTTGAAAAGGTTTGAGGTAGGGAATTCAACTTCTGCTATTTGAATTGCATTTCTGGGATTCTCAAGGTTTAATTGGGCTGGGATTACTCTGTTCCTGCTGCTGCTTTGCTCACAACTGCTTTTAAACTCCATCAGTTGTGTTATGGCCTTTATTTGGCAATTGCCTTTGGTTAGATTAGCTCTTGTGCGTTAGGTATGTACTGAAACTCCACATTTTCTTCCATATCTGTTCTAGTATGAAATTGTGTTCGTCCTCTGATTTATTTGTTGGTACTGTTTTGATTTATTAGCTTTGACCTAGTTTCGTTGGTGGATGAAATGCTTGTAAATCTGATTGAACCATGGTTAGGGATTAAATTTGAACTCATAAATGTAAGCGACTTGTTTAATTTGATGCTGGTCTCTTCTAGCGTCAATGTTTGAAAAGGAAAGTGAATTCGAATGAAGGTAGAATTAGTATTTCATGGATTTAGTTATTTATTGTTCATGTAAAGGGATGACAAATGGTGCGGTGCGGTTGCGGATCAAACCCGCATAAACCCACGAAGACTTCAACCCGCCCTGCATAGCATAATTTATTGCTATTAACCCGCCCCGTCCCACACCGCATAAACCTGCACCGCCCCGCACCGCACCTCTTAACTATTTTTTTTATTGTTTTCTTCCAAATATATGATATTAAATTGTGAAATTTATAAAATTATTTGTTTGAAGTTCAATTCATTTGTTTTCTGTGTACGAAATTTCTAATGCAATAATTGTTACTATAATAGAAGCTATAACTCTTAGAGCAGTATTAATTATCCCTAACGCTACTGTAAACCAAAATTTGGGAGGAAAAGGATTAGTCCTGCATATGAAAGTGCATTTCGATTTGCTTTGTCTTGCTCCTCTATTTTGTAAGTAGTATGTGAAAATTTAATAAGCAGAATAACTTGCCACCTTTCTTATAGAATATATTGCATTTACTTCTCCTTTTGTGCCAAAGTTTGAACAGATATTGTTCGAACCAGAGATAGTAGGTATCTGTGTATGTACGTGTAATAGATTCACATGCACATTAAAATTTCGTAACAATTATTGCACAAAGATACCAAAGATAATTAATGGTTGATATGATTTAAAGAAAAAGAAAATTAAAAAAAAAGCTTGTCTAAACCCACATAAACCCGCAACCTGCCCCGCCCCGCATCAGTTTTTAAAAGAATGGTTTACACCCGCCCCGCACCCGCTCGGCATAGTCTTAAACCCGCACCGCCCCACATAGCCTTAAACCCGCACCACCCCATTTGTCATCCCTATTCATGTAACAGTAAGAGGTCATCATGTTCATCTCATGCGTTAGGAAAAATTCATGCTGAGGATAAGTGGGAGAGAACAAAAATTAGAAAAAATTAGAGGACCTAAGAATTTCCTCTTCTTCCAAAAAGGAGTGGGCAGCCACACCAAAAAAGGGGAGTCATCTTTTTCATTTGATGTAGATCAATAGCAGTTGATAAACCCATCTGCTACAGCCATAAAATCCACAAAAACAGCCGCTAACTTCCATTAGAAACACCCAAGGATCCCAACCTAAAAACACCACGAAAGAGCCTTGAAACTCCATAAAAACTAGCGAAAAAGAGCTCTATTTCCTCCACCAAAACAGCTGCTCAAACAGCCATGAAAATACCTCTGTCTCCATCAAAAACACAGCCAACAAAGCATAAAAAACCAGCTGCAATCAGTCACAAAAACAGCCTCGAAACAACTCTAAACCCAGCTCTTTTCCCCCGTAAAACAGCCCAAAACTCAGCTGAAAAAAGGCAGCAAAGTAGCCATGAAAACCGAGCTGAAAACCAGCCAAAACTCACCTCAAAACTGCCGCAAAACAGTCACAAAACCACCCCCTGTTTAAATTCTTTTTCTCTGGTTCATTTGACTAGTTCTAGGTATGGTTTAGTCATTTATTAAGATTTATTATTGTATATTCTGTTAGTTTCGCTCTTCAGTTTGAATGTGGTTCTCTGGTTCATTTGAGTTGCTTTTATTAATTAATGGGTTGTTTGGTTAGTATTTAAGCTAGTTGGGCCATTTGGTTGTCTTAGAAAATCAGAAAATTGTATTAGGCTTAAAAATAGTATGGTCTTTTAGTTTGGGCCAATTTGATAAATGAATGGTTGGGTCAAATAAATCCTCCGCTAGTCCCACTTTCCTGTTAATATGTTGCTGTCCCATTTCTTCTTTAATTATAAAGCTAGTACCTTTCCATAATTAACCCACTTCATGCTTTTCCACAACTATTCCATAATTCATGATCTTACAATAATCTCAAATTAGCTTTAGGAAAATAATTCAAAAACATCGTCGCTTGCTTTAGGCGCGATTAATAAAATTATTGTGACTATGGGTACGGTCCCCGTGGCATAGTCATGATACATAATTCCAAATCCGAGTGCACGTTTGCGTGTCTTGGCTAATAATAAAATTAAAATATGTCGTAAATTGCGGGTGCGTTTCACGTGGCACGATTTGCAATGTGTATAAAACAACAAGTGTACGACATTGTAACTTGTTTAAAATAATTCCATAAATACTAAAATATATAATAAAGGCGGTAAAAGGTAAAAACGCACAAGGCTTAAAGCGTGTAATACTCAGATAATGAAGCCGAGTATAATTGTAAAGCGACCATGCTAAAATCATGAAATTCGGAATTGCTTACACCTTCTCCCGAGTTAACAGAATTTCTTACCCGGTCTTTTGGTTTCGCAGACTTAAACAGAGTCAAAATTTTCTTAATTTGGGATATAAAATAAACGGTGACTTGGGACACCTTAACTAATCACTCCAAGTGGCGACTCTCTCAAAAATTAAAATAAATAGTCTCATTTCAATGATGTCACTTAATTTGGAAGAACTCTTTTCCCCGGAAAAAAGGAGGTGCGACAAGTAATATTATTAATAGCAATAAAGCTCAAAGAATATTTTCACAATTAAAAATAAGGAGGGTGAGGATATTATAATAATTTACTCAATGTAGGTAATACAGAATATTATTATAAAAGTAAAGGTAGATTTTATAATAAATTTCTAAAAGATTATTATTTATAAAACAACAACAACAACCCAGTAAAATCCCACTAATGGGGTTTGGGGATGGTAGTGTGTACGCAGACCTTACCTCTACCCCTAAGGAGTAGAGAGGCTGTTTCTGAAAGACCCTCGGCTTAAAAAAATAAAAAGACAAAAGGAGACAATATTAGTATCACCATAGAAATCATAATAAAATAGGAACAACATGAAATCCAGAAAAAAGATGCAAAGCAAAGCAAAAGTGATAGCTATTAAATAGGTCATGCACTGAAAGGCGAAATCATAGGTAAGATTATTATTTATACTTTAAATAAATTTTAAATTATTATTTAGAAAATATTTTTATTAATGACAATCAAAATTAAAAAAATATTTACATAATAGAGAGTAAGAGAGAAAGTGTAGGGACGAAGCTAAAGGGAGGTAAGCGTGTTCAATTAAATCTCCTTATTCAAAAATTGAACATTACAAATAGGCAAAAATAACTTCTTCTTTTTTTATACATAAATTGTACAATCTGCTTGACAAAAAGAAAAGATACTAGTATTGTGGTAAGAGATTCCAATATTATTTTTCAAATCTAGGTGAGAAAATATAATTTGAATATCTTTTTATTTCATGTTATATTCACGATTATCTTTTGTAACAAAATCATAAAAGTATTATTCTATTTATAATTTATAATAAGGTATAAGATCATTTAGATTATAAATAACATACTTAGTTATCATATATAATAAAAGACTCCTATTACATAAAGGAGAAAATAAAAATAGCAAGGGCAAATAGATATTTTGTAGGATAAAGGGGGAATTTGTCAATAATCTATATCTATATAGAATAGGAGAAGCAAATCAATGTGATGATGTCAAGTGTCACAACAAAAATTCAACAAGTGTTTAATTTTAGGTCAAAATTAGTTAGGTTAGTTAATAATTAGTTACTCTTTTTGAATTTGAATTTAAAATAATTAAATATCTATATATTTTTAAGGAAACTATTACAAAAAAGAAAAAAATTACAAATATATATTTTGAGATGAGAAAGTTTTTGAATAATTCATATGGTCATGCTATGTGCTATATGGATACGATAAAACTAAAGACAAAAACATAAACAATAATTTCGAGAAATAAATAAAATGTATAAAGATATAATTTTCTTATGTAGTAATCTTAATTAAAAAATTAAACTTTCATATTAAATACAAACGGGAAGAAGAATTCAATCTAATTTCTTATTGAAAATAATACAAAAATAATAATCATTACAATTATTAGTAGATTTATGACATATAACAAAAATAAACTTTTATGCTTAACCTTTGAACTAATTCTTCACCATCCATTTAGAAAAATAATACAATAATATTCGTATTACATAAGACTAAATGAAAAAAATCAAAGTATTATAGAACAAAAACTTATGTATAAAGAGGAGAATAGATATAATGTGATTCTATCGACACTTTAATTTTATTTGATAAATTTAAGTAAATAAATAATACTCGAAAATATTATTGATAAATTTAAATATCGAAATAATTATGAGAAAGTCAGGTCTTGGAATATTTGAAAGCTCTCTTACAGTCTTACTTTATGTTCATAATAAATGGATCCCTCTCGACCAACTCCTAATAACAAGAAATATCTTAATAAGGGAAGATAGAAATCATTTGGATTTGAGGCGAAATCAGTGGCGGAACTAGAGGCCAAAGCAGGGGTTCGGCCGAACCCAATGTATAGCTTTTGCTCAAATAATAGAGTAGAAAATACTTGTTTGCTTCTTCTTGATGTGTTCATGTATATGCATTAGGTTTGTGTATATATAGGTACGAAAAGGAAGAAACCGTATCCAAATTTACTAAGGAATGTGGCTTTTCTTCTTATTCTTGAATCTTGAGCTGATTCCTACTTGAACAAGCTTGTCTTTTTTTTTCCAACTTAAAGTTCTTGACCAATGAGAAATCAAATTACTATGACTCTTTTTCACTGTAAAAAGGAAATGGATTTCTCTTAACGCATAGAGCAACGACTGCGCTCATAAAGATTAACTAGAGAAGTGGACGGGCCCGGCAATTTTTTACGCACGCATTTCTGATTAGTTGCATACTACTATATGCGACTTATAAGTCGCATTTTGTTTCTGAAACTTATAAGTTGGCGTATAAATCCGAAATTGCGTTCATAGTAGAGAGGGTAGAATTCTCCTGGACAACCTTTCCCCCTTTCCCCGATCAGAAAAACCGCATATCGCCCCCTCCGCCATAGCAAGCGATTTTCGATGTTTTTGAGTGATTTTTTGTAGCAAATATTTTCTACATCCAACAACAAGCTCAAACCTAGGCTTCGTTGAAAAATCCCTAAAAGTGAAATCAACTCCACTCTTTTTGTATTCGAATTTCACTACGAAAGAAAGGTATGTTCTCCTCTGATATTCTAGAGTTAATTTACTCTTAATTAGGGATAATTTTGTTAAAACCATTGCTGCTCGACTCGAGGATTTCTGTTCTTTTTCTTCTACACATGGCTGTCCGTATAGATTTCTGTTGTTTTGAGTTATCATTTTGGTTTTTATGTTGTGGCTTTGAATTGTACTTTGTTGGGACAGTTAAATATCCTTACTCGAATTATTTAGAGGACTGAAAATTTCAAAGTGCAAATATATCAGTTGTAGGATAGTTATAAGTAGCATTTTTCCCAGTAGGTAACTCTAATTATTGGTTTAAATTAGCATTTTCCACTACTTAATGACAATCTTTGGTTGAAGAAAAGCATATCCTTGTTTAGGTTAAGTCCATAATGTTCAGGGTATTTTGGAGGGGATGTGTTTAACTTATCTAAAACCTATCAAAGATAACAATAAAACACATTATGAAATGCAATTTACAAATCGACTGCTCATATGCCACTGCAAAAAGGCTGAGAACTGTACAATTTGATACGCTGAATTGACTAGTAATTTCATATAGTTGCAACTCGTGAATGCGTCTTAGTACAAAATATTCTCTGCATGTGAGGAATCTAAAAGATAAATAGCAGGCTGTGAATGTTTTTCATTAATCGCAATTTTGAACTGCACTTAGAGTATGAATATTCTCTGCGACATGGTCAGAATCTTGGAAATAGTAAAACACAATCATCCATTGAGACCTACAAGTCGCTTTTGGCAATTGAGATTCATAAGTTGCCTTCCAGCATTGAGTTTTAATAAACTCATTTGACCAGTGCGATTTGAGCTAGCGCCACTGCCAGACGGCTCGTTAGCTCAATTAACTTAGGACATAAGCAAATTGCAATCAAATCGCATTCCATGTATGTGTTTTGCATATTTTTGGTTTCTCACAAAAACAATACTTCCCTTTATTGATGATCAACGCACTATCTCTCCTCCTTCCCTGCTTCTAAACTTTTCACTTGTTCATTCAGTGTTGCATTTAGTACATATTTTCTTGACAATTTTATTCACTTTGTATTATGTGCTTTTATTACACTTTCAGTAAAAGAGAAATCATTTTATTCCCACAAAAGCAGCAAAAGAGTGCTAAGAGAGGTTTTTTGAACTCCAAAGAGCTAAAATTATCTGCGGAAACTTTCTAAGCCATTAAAATTAATTCTGTTGCTCTCTTCATCCAATAAAAAAAGAAAAAGAGAATCCTTGCAATCAAGAGGTTTGTCGAAAAAGTGTTGGCAATTAAGAGTCATGTTCTATGAGGAAAAAGTATAAAATAGTGCACCAAACTTCAAGTAGTATAGCAAAATTTTAACTACACCGGTGGACATATTTTTAAACTTCAAATCTGTATTTTTTAGGTTTTGCATTGAGCTCGGCATGGACTAGCCACCACTAGTGTACATATAAAGTTGTAGTAGAATGAAAAATTAGGGTTTTCATCGTCATCTGTTTACTCTTTGTATTTTCTCGTTTCAGCTTTTCTCTTTTGCTGCGGCTGCGTGTAACATCCATTGCACTTCTTGGTGGTGTTATTTCTGCTGGCGCTGAATGATGGGAAACCAATCACTCTGTGACAATAACATGGTGGTGGAGGAGGAAGCAGAGTATGTATTGCTTGATTTGGATGGCATTTCCTCCGCAGTTCACATTCCCCCAAATGCACCATATGTTCTCTCTGTACGATTTTCTAGCCCAAGTTTACTTTTTAGTTAATTGCTTTAATTTTTCTTATGGATTCAAACCAAAGTGTAAACCCCTTCTTTTTATTTCTCTTCACTCTTCAGATACCTATGGTTTTCAACTGTTCCATAGTTCTTTACAACTGGGTTTTTTTGTGGTGCTTTAATGAAAATATTACAAATTGATTATTTTCCTTCAAATTTTTTTTCTCAGGGTCTCGACACATTGAATCCCATCCTGACCATTGATGGCAAAATCAAGCTGGTGAGTTGATGGTTTTGGAAACTGCTTAGTTTTCCCTTTCTGTGACATAATAATTTATCTGCACCAGTATAGTTGGCTTCAATGGCTGAGTGAAGTCCAAAACTTGTGTGAACTTTATAATCATGCTCACCACATTCTTATCAAGTTCTATATCTTTGTAGTGGCATTAGTCGTTACAGTGGTCAAACATCTTGATGCCCACTGACACCCTTACACCACAGTAGTGCGCCACACTTACAGACACTTTATTGTCTCATTGTTTCTTGCAAGATAGTCAATATTGCACTTAAGTAAAACCCTATAAGTTTCAGTCCACACAGTTGTGTCTTCCTTCCATAAGGGGATACAAACATATTTTATCTGTTTCAACCCCACTTATTTCTGGTGATTCTTTAGTTGTGATCATTCTAGAGAAAAAGAGTTGGTGAGGGAAAAACAAAGTAGATATAATGGATTGTGGGTGTAATATTTCTGGTTGCACATTACAAAATGTTGCATCTTTTGAACATGTCATTTTTGTAAAACATTTGTTCCATCTTGACATTGCGATCATAGTTCTCAACTTTTCTCTGTGTATATGCTATTTCAATTGTGGGATTACACTGGGCCGTTGTTGTTGTTGTATATGCTATTTCAATTGGTCTTTATTTCTGTTTTGCAGATTGGACAGTATGATGAGACTATTGGGACATGCCTTGTATTTAGTGAAAGTGGTGAGCCACACTCCTCTGTACCAACATATTTTATTGACAGTACAATAGATTTTTGAAAATGTTTGGAAGGCATGAGATATGTATCTGATTATCTTAATCTAGCTTCAATGTTGTTGAGGCTGTTGCAAAATCTGAACATATTCCCTCCGTCTCATCCACAACCACAACCACAACCANCAGATTAGGTTAGTGTTTCCTAATGTGATGTATTGGGATGGAACTCTGACTCTAGCTGCCCCTGGTGTATATGAATGTCAATTTGAGACAACATTAGGCACATTGCGGACTGTGAACCTTGGAATTTTCTTTCTTGGGTACATATGAATTGAGGATAATTTTTCTGGAACTTAAGCCTCTTTTGCATGTCATAGATTTTCCATGGGCTTTCAATTCCTGCTGGAAATCTAGATGCTCAAACATAATGAATAGATGGTCAAATTAGCTGGAAGAACAAAAAACACAAAATATTTGAATCAATCTGGAATTTTATCATTAAGCTAAACTTCTTTTTGCAGATGCTCCCTCCATGGTTCATGAAGACACAGGACCATCTGAATCCAACCATTTGCCAGGAAGACGCATATTAGACCCTAAGGAAACCGAGTCCAAGCAAGTCAAGCCTGTAACACAGCTTCATAAGATACTTAAGTTCAGGTTGTTGCAGGATACTGAAACTGAAGATGCAAGAAAGAAGCCAAAAGAAGATTAGGTAGCTGAGCTTTTGACTAAATTAGAAGATATGTTTGACAATGTATAGAGGAGTCGAAGCAGAGCCATTACAACATAGCATTGCTAGTACATAAACGAAATACTAGCTTCAGAAACTCAGATGTTTCACAATGGTTAGCAATTAGATATGGCAGATAGAATTGGTAGGTTACAAAATGTCATTTCTTACTCTGAAGCAAAGGGAAAAGTGCTCTGACTCGCAACTACATGTTGCATAGATGAACCAGAATTGCTCTGGAGTTTCTCCTAGCATTATCTCATTCCTATATCCAATATAGTCCTTCTGATGCAGAAAGGGAGGAAAAAAGAGTGAAATCTATCGGCAGATTAGAATAAATTGTTAAATCTAATTTCTGTTCTTACCAATAACTGATGCATGAAACCTTTAATTTGAGAAATTGAAACAGCAAGTATTGGTGATTTTGGTGCTGCAAGCATAATGTGGGAAGCGAGTCAGCTAAAAAAAAAACAGTTTTATTGAAAATTGTGCAAATCCAAAAGGCAAGTCATGTCCCACCCGAGAGAATTCCAAAATAAGTAGTATTTCAACTTGTTATGAACTCAATTGCCAAGTATATTAACATGTTTCAGAGGCAAAATAGATTTTTTTTTTTTTAAAACAAACGTGAATTCTGTTTATTGCACATTGTGAACCATTCTATAAGATAAAAGAAAAGGGAGGATGGGAGGATGAGTTAATGAAGTTACAAGATATCGTGCTCGTGTTTATTTTTCATTTATATGAAAACCAAAACCATTCTATAACCATTCTGTTTACGAATTGACAGTGCTAAAATACGCCGTGCACACTAAAAAATACAGCAAATTCCTTCGAAACTTTCCAGGAACTTTCCGGCAAAACAAAACATTCTTTTTCAGCAAAACAAACATTAAAAGCTTTTTCGTTTTCCTTGATTTTGGTTTATTTTCGTTTTCGTNAACTTACGAAATATTTTCGTGCCCTTTCTTGTACAATTCTTTCATTGAATGTAAATTTAAGAAAATACTTAAAATATCTTAATTTGAAAAAAATACAAAAGTATATTGTTAACTGTACATGAATTTTGATTGCAAAGAAAAACAAAAGATATAAATAGCAATAAGTTTGTAAGAAGATTTTTATCACTCCGATTATGAGCATTCCATTTGTTACCTTTTTTTTTTATTTTTTATATTCTCATGTTCCCCTCATTTGATTCTATTGATTAGTAGTAATTTATTTCTCCAAAGTCGAACAACTTCAAAAATCAGGTATCCCGAGAAAAAAGAGCAAATTGTTATGAAATAAAGACTATAAAGTAAAGACAAGTATAGAGAGAAACTGATATATTATT